GGCGCAGTCAGATGATCTTCCGGCCTATCACGTAATTACCGACATCAAAATTTATACGAATAACGATTTAGCGATTTTGGCGATTTTATATGTTAAGCGAAAATATTTAATTCACAAGCATTATAGTGCTAACTTAATACATAAAGTTACGTACATTACAATGAAATAGCATTATATTTTATAAAATAAAAACATTGTTTTGTACAGTGAATTCAACCTTATCCATAGAACTGTGTATTCTTATTACTATCCTTCCAAGTTCGTGGTAAAGTATGCCTATTTTCATGCTGCAAAATATCTTTAACGAATTTTTCAAGCGGGCTTAGTTTGGATTCCATATTTTCAAGAAATTTTTGAGGGTTATGAAAAGTCTTTGATTCGTTAAGAATGCGTTGTGCCTAATTTAATAAAAATTTATAAATATATGAATATTTACTTAATAAAAAAAAAGTAAATAAATATTTACCTCGCTTAAAACTTGATGTAGTCTTGCATATTTTTGTTCAATTCCGTCCATAAAACTATTACTTGTTTCATAAATTTCACTTGCAGTATTTATAGTAGGTGTATTAATTTCATTAATCGTAATGGAATTATCACTATTGATTAGATTTTTATGATTATTATCATCATAAAAATTACAGATTGCATATATTTCTTTCCATGGATTGACCGATGACAATGAAATTAAGGGATATTTCGAATTACGAAGCACCTAAAAAATTAATATCAATATATTAATATATAATGAGTAGATTTAAATCAGGTTTTAGTTATATAATGTTATTGTAATTACCTGATAAAAAAAAGCATTTGGCTTTGAACCAATTGGGGCGACCAAATGTTTGCATAAAAAAAACCTGTTTGTTGCGAAGTAGGGGCAGGAACAAATCCAATATCCATGGTTTGTTAAATATTTTCCAAGGTCACATGGCCGTGATGCTAGAGAATTCCATTCCTTTTGAAACTCTTTTCGCCAAGATGTAAGTTGACGTCCATAACATAGTAATTTGAATGTATCAACTTTTCGTGTAATAACCTAAATATACAAAAAAAGCTTATAAATTAAAAAATGGTATAATATTATATATTATAAATATACAGTATACCTTTTTAACAATTATAAAACATAAAAGGTCCAAACGAGGACGATTAAACTTGTAGAGATAATCTCTTTTCAAAAATCTCCAGTGAGATTCGACTATCATAGTCGTACGCAGAATTCCAATTTCTTCAAATGAAGAGCGTGCCCAGAGGTGCCATTGTTTTTGGGAGTACCACTCACACCAAAGGTACCCCTATACTATAATTAAATTATTATTACGGCAATACTGATACATTTCAGTAACACACTCGATCCAGATTGTTTGTTGATTGCTTACAAATGTTTTATCCTCCTTTGGAATAAGCATGTGCCGATTAAAATGCTTTGTAACAAGGTTTGCAATATATACACGAGCTTCTTTATTAGCAAGTTGATAATCTGATTTTGGCTTATTCACATTTTCTTGATTCGTTTCACTAAACATTGATGGGACCAGTTGCCATAAAGGATCAATTATGATACACTGTTTATGCGCTTCAGCTGCATTATACCTTACAATTTGAATTTTGGCTTTTGATGATAATTTTTGCTTTATCGCACGAAGAACATGCCATAAACACAATTGTACTTTAAGATTAATCCATGTGGCTTTTGCTGCGTTTATTTGTGATAGATCTTTATCCGTATAAAAAATTTTTATATTCGTTAATTGACATGCTTTCAATGCTGTAAACCATTCTGTTATTATACTAGTAATATCACGGTTTTTGCCTGGTGATATAAATAGATAAGAAAGAGGAAACCCAGCACCATCTACAATTGCCATAGCTACGTATAGCTCATATTTATGCTTGTTAGTGTTATACGTTGCATCTACCATTAGTTCCATTAATTTATTCAAAGGTAATATATCAGAGAAGGCGGTTAAAAAAGCAAATGCATAATCTTCAAAAAAAAGAATTTTCTGATTTTGTTTTTGAAGAAAAGTTCTTGCAGAAATAAGCTCATTGTCACAATATCGGTAATCAGCTTGCACAATTGATGACCACCAGTAATAGACTTGTTTAATCGTTAATAGCTCAAATCCATTTATATGTTGCTCTTTAATTGACTGATAAATATTTGGAACGCTTTGTCCAATACATGAATTTATATAATCTTTAATTTCTTGAGTTACATTGATCTTTTCTAATCGCGGGTGTAAAATCTTATGAGATACATTAACTGTTATGATATTTGAATAGAGTTTGACTGTAATTAAGCCTTTACATTTATAACGTTCAATATGTGCTTCACTATTGCGTTGTTTTGAAGTATCTGCAATTTTTTTCTGATATCTACACAAGTCCTTACGAGCATTACACCAGTATATTAATGTTGTAAATTCAGAGTTTTTACTATTGTATGTTTTATGAAATACATAGGTATATCCATCACCATCGCTAATTGCATCAACTATTAGATTGGCGATATGTTGATTTTTTTCTTTAGTAATTTCAATTGGAATGTTTTCATTAATAGAATCTAGATCAATATCAAATTGAAGTTGAAAAGAGGTTTGTCCTTCAAGGTTATCGTTCAAATTTTTATATTCTAAAAGTGCATAATAAATATGATCGGCAATATTGATGAAGCTAATTGCATTTTCTTTTTCAGTTATAGAATTATTAGCTTCTTGTCGCTTGTGTTTTTTTGCCTGTGAGGTATTGTTACGGCAAGCTACACAACGATTTCGAATGTCACTTTCACCAACAATAAAATCAGTATTTGGTCGAACACATTGGCACCTAGTGCAAGTTTTTGTAGAACCTTCGTTATCCATATTTTAGTAAAAATAATATTTTTACCCTTAAAAGGCAAAAAAAAAATCCGTAATATTAAACTACAAACAATTATTTATTTGTAATCATTATCATTACTATTATATAGTTACGTAATATCTTTAAATAATGATGATGAAAATAATTAAAAGTTTAATGCGAGATC